GCATGAACACGTTCAAATGCTTATGGAAATGTACAGAGAAACTATTGAAATGTTTGAAGGGAATTTTCATTACATGGAACTTTAGAGTGTTCCTCTCTCTTTTTCTCTCTGCCACACGTACATGCACAGACACACTCAAAGTCATTATGTGTTAAGACAACATATCTCTTTGAGTTGTTTTTTCCTTTAATGTGTAATGGAATTTGTCTGTGTGCACATGAGACAGAGAGAAAGGCAACCTGCACAGGGTATGGTCACACCATGATCACTCTTCCAGTCTGGTATATAGTTGACTGGGACACAGAGACTGGGTCAACACATCTCTTTCATCCAGGAGAGTTGCAAAAGAAGTAACCAGCCCCATAGCCTAGTGGTTGGGGAGCAGGTTCTAATATAGCCAACTGCTGTTCAATCCTGGCCTCCGTGGCTTACAAAACAAACTATGTGTAGGGACCAGCAGTTAGTGTAATGGCTATGTCACTGGACTCCCATGTAGCCGACTGTGGTTCGAATCCCAGACCCAGTGGCTTAAACTCACGCTGGGCGCATGTGCGTGTGTGCCCAATATCCCGAGAGGAGACTAGAGGAGGAAGGATTGCAGCGTGGCTATGCCCCCTGGGGGGGTGATTTCTTGCTTTCTATCTCTCTGTCTTTTTCTGTCTTTCTGGTGCATGCATGCGCCTTATAGGAAAAAAACTCTCAAAAAAAAAAAAAAAAGCCATATGGGAGTCAGTCCAGTGATGTAATCATTACACAATCTGCTGGTCCCGGTATTCTTAATACTTAATGTGACAAATAATGAATCTACTTTCATAATATGAGTTTAAATTTCATGTTTTTTTTATAGTTATATTGTAATTGAATTAATTAGTTGTTGCTGGGAGGCCAGCCAGTGGGGTGGTGGTTGGGGCAGCTTGATAAACACACGTCACACATATGCAAACGTGTCCAAAAATTCTGAAAGGAGTGATGGAGGAGAAGGAATTGTGGCGTGGCCATCCTCCCATGGAAGATACTTTCTTACTTTCTCTCTCTTTTTCTCTTTCTAGCTAGTTCACACATCTGCTAGGAAAATAAAAAATTAAAAGAAAAAAAAAAAGAACGTGGGACCAGCCAGTTGTATGATGGTTAAAATAACTGGATCTCATATTACAGCTGAGTGGTTCAAGTCCCAGACCTGGTGGACTAAAGAACACTCTGGGAGGTGGGAACCAGCAGTTAGCTTAATGGCTATGTCGCTGGACTCCCATGTAGTTGACCACGGTTCGCGTCCCAGACCTGGTGGCTTAGAACTCACGCTGGGCGCGTGTGCGTGTGTGCCCAAGATCCCGAGAGGAGAATGGAGGAGAAGGGATTGTGGCGTGACCATCCCCCCTGGGGGGTGATTTCTCGCTTTGTGTCTCTTTGCCTCTCTCTCTCTGTCTGGCGAGCGCACGCACGCTATAGCGAAAACCCTCTCGAGGAGAATGGAAGAGAAGGGATTGCAAGGGAAGGACATTTGGGAGAAGAATAAAGAAGACAGACATATGTGGGACGCAGAAATGGTTTATTACCTGTTGATGATGACATGGACAGTATTCTCAACTGGACTGGTCTGAGGTGTATTTCATGTCGGGTAAATTCTCTCTACCAGCTAAATGATGTATAGTGACTGAATGGATAAAAAATTTAATTAATTAATTAAAGGTGAGAAATAAATATAGATGAACTAATTTAAAAATAACAATATGTTCATTTATGTTGGTATATCTGAAAGTAAGTATATTAAAAATTGGAATAAAAAAAGAACACTGTGGTGCATGTGCATGTGTGCCCAAAATCCCTACAGGAGAATGGAGAAGAGATTGTGGCTTGGCTATTCCCCTTTCCCCTCAGGGGGTGATGTCTCACTTTCCCCTCTGTCTCTGTCAGTCTCTGGCAGGCACATGCACCCTATAGCAGAACTAAAGAAAAGGGGGGGGGGAACAAAACAAAACAAAAAACAAAGGACAAATAGTCATTGCTGGGCATTCAGGATGGAATTGGTGCTGTTATCACACAGATGGCTGCACAGTAATTCTGCGTCTTGGTGCAGATTCCTCCTGTTGCCTTAGTGCAGATTCCTCCATCAGCACATCACATGCCTGAGAATGTGCGTATTTCAGACTTCTGATAGATGTCACTAGTTGCCCTCTGGGATGGGGTGCCATTTTGTATTACCTTCAGTAGTGTGTGCCAGATTCCCATGCCCTCAAAACACAGACTGTTAGAAACAGTTTTTATATTCTGTTGTCTTTATGAATACAATATAAATGGAATCTGGTCTTCTCTCATTATTTAGATTTAGGAAAGTTTACGATCTTGACTTTCTGTAGTCTTTTTGGTGAGATAAACCATCCTGGATATTCGAGTTTTCTGAATAGCTCTGGATATGCCGTTATTTCTACTTTATTAAATAATAATTACAAATAACTATATGATGCAGAGGGACTTCTTTTGGGTTAATTACTGGAGCGTTGTCAGTTTGGCAACTTCAGAGTCAAGGCATATGAAGAGGTTAGGTATGTACTTGCCTGGCTTCCTTCAGGTATTTTGTGTCATTGTCATTATTAATATGTAGGTGATATTTTTCCTCTTTCAGATGAGCAGACTGGAGTTCAGAGAGATTGTTTACTTTGCTTAAGATCACACAGCTACTACATAGTAAAAGAGAGATTTCAGTTTCCTTTTGTCTGATAGGAACCTTTCTCTTTCCACATCATCGCTTTCTAACCTCTGCCCTCTGGGGTGGCCCATCTGTTGCTGTTGAATGGTTCTTAGTTGCCATCTCTTCTCTTTGCAGGACACAGGCTTTTTTCTTTAAATAGCTAAATCTACACTGGTTCTCTGGGGGGCTTTGCTGTGATTAGGGAGAATGGACTTTTTCCTTCATTGTTTCTGAGCCTTTTCTTTGTTTCTTTTTTCTTTTCTTTTTTCTTTCTTTTTTTTTTTTTTTTTTGCTTTGGAAGGATGACATGTGTTCAGTGGTTGGGATCTGCACTCACCTTGATTTTGTTTTGGATCAATTTGGGATAAATTCAACATTGTCTGTTGCCCAAGTTATCTGGGATAATCCTTGGGGTCACACAAGTCCCCCCCCCTTTTCTTTTTAAAGTACTTAGTAGTGCCCAGAACAGAGACATATCAAAAACCACACAGCAGTGCAGCTCTTCTGCGGGTTAATGTGCATGTGGGAAGGCTTTTTCTGCTTCACTCTGTTGGCGTGTTACCTCCTGGCCCAGCTACTGGCCATGTTTATTGTAAAGGAACTTAGGAGAAATGAACTTTAGTTCTCAAAGCGGCCATTACTTTGAGTCAGCTATTAGGTCTAGCCACAGCAGTGTTGAGTGCTGTGGAGACATAGGCTATCCAGCCCGCTGTGGTGAGTGAGGGGAGCGGAAAGTAAGAGGTGGCTTTGAAATATTCATGGGAAATGCATGGATTTTAAATTTTGCACTAAAATATACTCAGACTTCAATTTTCCATGAACTTTCAGAAGTCTCCTTGTATTTCATTCAGCCTTGTAGTAATCTAGGACTTAAGGTGAGCAACTTAACAGGTCAGGATTCCAGAAACCTATTTTTCTTGAGTGGCAGGGGGGACAAGAACTCTTGCTCCCAGGTGGAGGATACATCTATACATCTCTAGCTACCTGGTGTCACTGCTGTTCGCCCTGCCCTCCCTCATCGCGGGGAACTCAGTTCCAGGAGTTTATGTTCTTGGAGCAGGTTTTCCCAGTCAAGCTTCCATTTTCTCTCCTACTACTTCTCTTGTGGAGTCTCCTTTCCTGTCCCAACCACTCCATCCTCTAGAGACAGATTCTGGATCTCTTTCTAGAGGTTTTCCCAAGACCATGGGTTGTAGTTACTACAGGTGGATGCTCATATGTAAGAGCCTTAAGTTGGAAACTAGTGCAAATATTTACATCTTATTTCTCTGTTGTCACTTTGGGCCAGGATTTGATATTCTTTCTAGGCTGTTTTAAGAAATACCTTTTTACACAAGTGATGGCCATTTCATGAGTAAGTTTAGGGAGAGCCATGTCCTCTGGTTTTTAGCTTTGTAACAAAACTTGAGGAATTTTATGATGGAATTGTAATAAATGATGTCACAGACGGTTGGTATTTCAAGTTTGTATCTTAAACTGTTTTCTTATTCACTCTTAGTAAACTAAATGACCTGTAGTTTTTTGGTTTATTTGTTTTACAGAAAAGATGTTAGAAGTTTAGTTTACCTTTCTAACTTTTGCTTTCTCATCAATAAAATGGTTATAGAAAACCCTCATTACAGGTTTTGTGTGTGTGTGTGTGTGTGTGTGTGTGGTGTGTGTATCTTTTTTATTTTATTTTATTTTTTATTATCATCATAATCTTCTTTATATTACATTTGATTGCATATAACTTTACAGTGTATTACATTGCTTTTTCAAAAGGGAATGCCATGTATATCAGTCAATACAGAGACATCAATCTCCCTGCTTCAACATTCAATATCTTTTCTATGTTTTCCCCAATCAGTATTATTATTATTCTAATTATTTTTTAAAACAGTCAATCGCTATTTCTCATTTTGCTTGTAAAAATACTTTGCCCATCGTGAAGTACTTCTCAGACCAATCCAGTTGAGAATATTATACATGTCATCAACAGTTAATAAGCCATATCTGTTTCTCACTAACGTCCTGCCTCTCTATTGTTCACTTGCTATCTTTCTCTATCCTCTTCTCTTCACCTTCCCCATTCCAAACTGTCCTATTCTCTCATTAAGTACCTTCACTGCTTTTATGTGGTATGTGTATCTTCATACTGAAATGGTTTACCTCTGTTTTTGTAACATGGAATAGTATGTAATTTCCTATATGCATTTGGTTATATGCAAATCCTTCTCAGAAAACATTAGATGCACGTTAATTAATTTAATACTGAATTTGACTTGTGTTTTTCCTGCTTAAAAGAAAATTAATACCGAACTCTATCTTTCAGGCTGTAACAGAGAAGAATTTTGAAACAACAGATTTTCGAGCCTCTCTAGAAAATGGTGTCCTGTTGTGTGAGTAAGTATATGAAACATTTAAAAAATAATTCAAAAGGAAAGATGTGTGTGGATGTGTGTGTGTGTGTTTGCACTCGCGTGTGTGTATAAAGTATCTTTACCTCCCCTCCTTCCATGGCCACCTTAGTCAGATATGTGTTCTTAGAGATGAGATTTGATCCCTGCAAACTGATACCCTCACAGCAGGAGACAGTAGGAAAAGGTTATCAGTCGCTGAATCTAAAGATAGCATGGTGAAATATATATTATTTTTAATTAGTAAACAAGGAAGATTCTATTTTTTGCTTGATGGGCCAGTAAGAGTGGGTGATTGAAGAAGAAGCCTGATTACATTTCACTACATATTACTTAGGCTAAATATTCTAATGTGTGGAATTGCCTGGTTTAAAAGTTAACACAAAACTTCTTTGTTAATAAATTATTACAACAGGTATACAATTTTTTTTAAACATTTAAGTGGACTTGCATAATTCCATAATGCATTTCATTGCATTATGAAAGTCGGTTTGAATCATGGCCTCTTCTTTCAATGAATAGATATGAAGAATCACATTCAGTCATATGTCATTTGACTATTTTGGTTATCATAAGCAAAATAGGCCAGTGCCATGGTTGGTATAGGCCTACCTTGTATGTTTAATGCAATGTTTTGTTCCCCAGTGGGTGCATGTTCACTTAGAAGGTATGCAACCTTTGCGGGTGAGAGGCTGGCCAACCTTATGTGGGACATAAGGGTGAAATTTTGGGGGATGGTACAGGTTGTAGAAGTGAACAGAGAAATTATAAGAGTGTAGCTGAGTACTCAGCTACATTTTAAGAACACAATTTAATTATTCTACTCTAGATACTTAACTTTAGGTATTTATGGAATGTGACCACATGTAAACAGTGAGAGTGTATGTGCTCGAACTTAGGTGGTTCAGACAATCCTTTTGAAGGAGATGGTTTACAACAAAGAGCCAGAGCCAGTTTTTTATATATATATATATGTATATATATATATATAACGTGTGTATGTATGTATGTATACAATAAATTTTTTTTTTTTTTTGGAGAGGTGTTTTTTGCCATAGGGCACATGCGATCGCCAGACAGACAGACAGAGACCGAGAGACAGAAAGCAAGAAATCACCCCCCAGTGGGGGATGGCCACGTCACAATCCCTTCTCCTCCATTCTCCTCTTGGGATCTTGGGCACGCACACACACCTGGTATGAGTTTAAGCCACCGGGTCTGGGACTTGAACCACGGTCGACTACGTGGGAGTCCAGCGACATAGCCATTACGCTAACTGCTGGCCCCTCTGTGTTAAAGTTTTTATAAACTTTTAAACTTCATATAAATTCACATTGTTGCTAGGAAGATGGCCATGTAAATAATAATCTCCATCCTATCCATTCTGTTGGCAGGTGTTCAGACATCCTTGTCTTCGAGTGATAGTATTAATTTGGTTTGTATGAATGACTGGCATTGATCTATTTGTGACCCAGAAAAATGTCAACATCATGTGGTCTTTCCTAACATTTAGGAGGACAGACATATGAAGAAGAGCCATGAATGAAGTATAAAGGTGGTTTCTTGTCCTCTTCCCAATATCATATTAGAATAATTGTGGAGTAGTATAATGTTAATATTGAAACTAATTTAAGTATGTCACATGTCAGCACAATTGGTCACTGATGGGAAATTTCTTTGATTTGAAAACTGTCATTTAGGAGCCAGCAGGTGGTGTGGTGGTTAAGGGTCCTGGACACCCACATGGCTGACTGTGGTTCGAGTCCTAGACATGATGGCTTGCTTTCTCACTTTCCCTCTCTCTCTCTTATTCTGTTCCTCTCTGGTCAAATTAAAATAAATAAATAAGTAGATAGATAAATAAAGTTAAATAAAATAATTCTTTAAAAAAAAAAAAACCCTGATATTTAAATGTGTTTAGAAAATGGAGGGGAAAAATACCTGTTACAAAGAGGCAAGTGACTTACAAATTGCCTTAGCTATGAGAATGGACAGTTTTAGGTATAGAGCAAAACTTTGTCAGTTCTAAGCCCGCTTAAGTCTTAATAGGAATTAGATAGGATTATGTGGGAAGTGTGTCTTTGAAGCACAGGATTCTTTTTATTAAGTTTACTAGGTTGTCAGGAAAGTCATGACATATTTTTTATGCAAAAATGCATCATGACTTTCCCAACCACCCAATAGATACGTAAGAGTCTATGCCCCGGTGGATCATCTTTTCAAACAAGTCACTTTTTAAATAGATCATTAAATGTTTAGTAGTGATAACTAGTTTTTGACTTAGCATATAATTTGTGTATCTGCCTGGACTCTGCATGATTTGAAGAGATTTCCAAAAACTGTACTGAACCTGAAGGGATACAGATATTTAATGAACAGGTATTTAGACCATAAGCAGTACAAGTTAGAATAAATATACACTTTTCTACTATAACGATGACAGTAAACATTTGGATGCATGTTTAGAGATGTATTGTGTGTGTGTTTTTTAAGTCATTTTATTCATAAACTTTCAGAAGCTTAAATCATTTTTTGATTAGAATGACAGCAGTTCAGAGTTTTGTGCATTGCAGGTACATCTAATTTATCTGCTTAGTGCTCATGTTCTTTACATGAGTGTTTCCTAAGTAGCTTAAGTAAATACCATGCCACTCTAATCAGTGATTGTATTTTACTGTGGAACAACAAAGTAATACACATAAGTATTTTTAATTTAAATTTTATTTATTTGTATTATTATTTTCAATTTGCTGTAGAGCTCCTATACTCACCAGAGAGAGAGAGAGAGAGATAGAGAGAGAGAGGGAAAGTGAGAAAGCAAACCACCAGGTCTGGGACTCAAACCATGGTTGGTCATGTGGGAGTCCAGTGCCTTAACCATCATGCCATCTGCTGGCTCCCCAGACTACACAACATTTATTTAAAAATTGTGAATCATATTGTTTATAACTATAGAAATAATAAGGCACGAAAGATGTACTACACAATATTTATGTTAAAATGTCTTTCTCAAAATTGTGAATCACATTGTTTATAACTACTGATTAATAAGTCACAAAAAATGTAGTATTGGGGAAAAATAGTTTATATTCTGTATCTGTATTTGTAATTGAAGAAAGCCTAGCTGCCTGGCCTGTGAAGTTATTCAGCAGGCACCATTGTTTGTAACCACTTCCACCTGAGTTACATATCATGCCTATGAGGAAACACAGTTGCTCAGAGGCCTGAGAGTACAAACCCTGACTGTTAAAAGAAGGTGAAAATATCTATGGGAAGCTGTCTGTCTCTAGAGAATGTTTTACCCACTAGAGATCTCAACTTCTGGCTGAAATATGATTAGGATATTTAAAAGTGTTAAGTCCATTTTCTTTCAGGAAAAGGTTGACTTCTTTGTGGCTTAGTGCCAAAACCATATTTCTTGTGAAATGTAGGATCTGCTTGTTGTCTATTGAAATGATCACCATTGAAGCGTTTTTTTCATAATTCATTTTGTAATTGCAGTAGGTTTTTTTTAACCCTTAATTAGTACTTTTTTCCTGTTTGAACTGGCATTCCGAAATATCAAAGTCAAGGGTTGGTGTTGCTTATTATAGCTTTCACCCAACTGGCAATGTACTGACATTTCAGATAGACTAAATTGGTATAAACCCCGCTTGGAGGTTTCAGACAAGATACACATCTGAATAACGAGGATAATCATGTGCATTCATTGCCTTTTAATTTGTTTGTCTATTGAAGTTAAGATCTTCATGTTAATCTTTTCAGTTTGATTGACCGTGGAATCCTGGTGAGTTGAGGGCTGAAGACAATCTCCCTGGTTTAGAAACAAAGAAAGTTAATTGCCACAGAGTACTCACCAGTGAGGGGCACAATGGAACATGGTCATATCACAATTTCTTCTCTATTACTTTATCCTTTCAGGATTTGGGGCACACATGCACATATACCCATGGTGTTTTCAAGCCACTGGGACCAGGATTTGAACTATGGTTGGTCATGTGAAATCTAGCTCCCCTAATCACCAGGCTCTCCTGGTTAAAAAAAAAAGTATGTATTCAGTAAATTTTTCGGACAAAAATCTCTCTTGGCTTTACTAAATAGTAATATGAAAATCAACTGAATTTGTTTTTTTTTATAATCAAAGGATTGGCAAAAATTTATAAGGTGATTTTAACTGCTGCTTTTTCTGTTTTTTTTTTTTTTTTTTTTTTTTTTTTTTTTTAGGTTTTTGCCATAGGGTACATGCACTCACTCGAGAGAGACAGAGACAGTGAGAGGGAAAGTAAGAAATCACCCCCTAAGGGGGATAGCCATGCCACAATCCCTTCTTCTCTATTCTATTTTCAGTATTGTGGGCATGCACACATATGCACCCAGTGTGATTTTCAAGCCACCAGGTCCAAGCCTCAAATTGTAGTCAGCCAAGTGACAGTCCAGCTCCTTAACCATTATCCCACCTGCTGGACTCTCAGCTTTTTCTTTTAATTTTATTAATAACAGTTATTAATCTATCTCCTGTCTTCAGTGTTTCTTACTGTTCACGAGAACTGCATTACTATGTGTTTTTTAAAATATAAAAGATTTGTCACTACAGAGATATCCACAATCTTGTTTGCTCTGGGTTCTAGCAGACTTATTTTTCTTCTCTAAACTTATTTGGTTGAGGCACATCTATCTGGTGATATCAATTGGTAATTTTGTAGGTTCTTATGATAGTAATCTTGGAAATAATTCAAATGAAAACATTCATTATTCCTCTTATGAAGTAAAAAGATTTGTTTGAAGATAGTCTGATAGGGTGTGTTGCTGGCTAGTAGTCTATAGTTTCCACTTCTCAAATGATCCTGGTTTTGCTCTGTCCCAGTCAGTCAAGCATCAGAAGTGTATTCCTTTTTGAACACGTAGCTTATGTTACTGAGAAAACTCTGCTTGCACTCTTAGCAGATTTTCTTTTCTTTTGCTTGTGGTTTGGGACAAGCAGAGGAA